TTTATTGTTAAAAGAGAATTCGTCAAGAAGATATATAAATTGATCTACAAGGTTTCATGCTGTATGACGCTTATTAAGTGGAATAATATCTAACAAAAAATGTTCAAATTTCCACTCAATATTTCATTACTCCCATAAATGCTTCATTATTCATATTTGACTATAAGTCAAGAGTAAAAGCTATTTTACTTTGAATTTGGTTTAAATCATTTTTAATTTGTATTCGACATAAGTCGAATTTAGACATAATTATATTCTTAATTTTTGATGAACTGGAAACCTTATATCGTGAATCTAATTTATATACAAATTTTCTAAAATGTTTATTTGTTATTACTGAAAATGGTTGCTGATGACATACAATCCATATTAATAAAAAAAAATCATGATCTTTTTGATCTTTTTGGTTATGCGGATGAAATCGTTCAAATTGGAATTTTAATTTATAAAGTTTGCCTGGCCTAATACCATGCTTTCTTTTTAAATGCCTTCGTAATGTAGTAGTTGAAAACTTTTTTGTAAATTGTTCATTACACTTTAAGCAATATAGAACATTATCTTTTTTTAAAAAAAAATTCCACACAGGAGATAATGATGCAACACGTAAATTTACTTGACTTGCAGAGTCATTAGGTGTAATACTGCTAGATAAAGTTGAATCATTATTTTCATTAGTTAATATATCCTCCATGTCACTCAAACGTATAACTCTTCTGCATCGTGTTCTAATTCATTTATGTTCATATTTTCCATTTTTTTTCAAAAAAAATGTAAGTTAAAAAGTATTATTATTTTATGAACTTGAACACACAAAACAAGAATATAACATATGCTCTATTTATATTAATTCATTAGTTTTTTTTCTTTCTTATATTCATTATTAGCCCATTATAGATCTGTTTTAGTTGTTATTTTTAGCACATTAAGACTCACCCGATTTTTTTTAATACTATTAGCCTATAACACTTTGTAAACATAATTACGTTTTTAACAAATCAAAACATTGTTTGTCCTCAACAAAATCTCTTATTGCTTGATTCAAGCAAAGCCAAGTTCCGATATAATTAGGATTCTT